TTAAAAAATATTAATATAAACTTAATATACACTAAACTAATTAATGTATATGTACACGAATTAATAATGGACATACTTCTAGCAGCATAATAGTATTCTTCCTTTGCTTCTGGACACAATAACAAATCAGGGCTTCGATAATTAATTTCTTGACATTTTTTCAATTGAGCATCCATCCAATCCCTACGTCTCAGTATCGTATTTGCTCGAATTATATCTTTAGCTGCATCTGTACGTTGAAAAAAAAATAATTCATTTGATAATAATTATTATTAAATTTAATATATTTAATTAAATTTAATAATTAAATTAAATTTAATATTTAATAATCGTATACATACATTCTAAACAACCACAATAACCATCTTCAGTTGGGCAGAAACCGTTACAATTTTTAATAAAGTCCTCATAATCACAATACATTGGCTTCAATTTTTCTGGTGGTTCTATCATATCATGATGTGAAGACAGCCCCTAAAAAAATAATTAATTCATAAATAATTTAATATAATTCTATACAAGATATATATATATATATAATTCCCAAACTAGATATACGAACTAGATATACGAACTAGATATACGAACTAGATATACAAACTAAATATACAAACTAGACATACATTATATATATATGTGTGTGTACATATATATATATGAATTCAAGACTAGATATATACATACATGTATGTACATATATGTACGTATAATTCTAGAAATTCTAGACAATATATACCTTCATCCAAAATATTTCTCGATTTTTCATCCTTCGTTTTAAATTCAATTCATAAGTATTCCTCAAAGTAGCTATATACTTTGGTAATTCAGTAAAGTACCAATCAATTTTTTCTTTTAATTTACGTTCTAATAGTTCACGTCTCCAATTTTCTTGAATTGTAACCAAAGACATATCATTCTTTAACCAAGCTTGTCTTTTACGAACACGAGCAAGATATAATTCACCACATTTTTCTGGTGGAGGTTTCTTTCCACGACGAGCCCACCATTCACGAGCATCACGTAAAAACCGAGGACGTTCCAGATGACAACATAAGAAATCATCATTTGTAATTGAACTATACCAAGTAGAGATGATAGCCGATTCAAAGATTCTTTCACGTGTAAAATATGCAAGTATTTCACCACGCGTTATAGCAGCAGTTAAGGGATATTCTTCTATCGGCATGCCTCCTAAAACAAAGTCATCATATATTCTTCGAGTTTTAAGATCTAATTCCATCCGTAATTTATCTACAGCTATACCATCAGCCATCAAACGACTATTTAATTCCATCAATCTTGAAACACGTGGTACAACGATATGACGTAATTCAGCCATTATCTCATCCAAATTTTTGCGAAGAGATTTACTTTTAGTTAAAGAGTCACCAGAAGTGCCAGCAGTGACCGAAGAAGTATTACCAGTATTACCCGTATTACTAGTATTACCAGAATTACCAGCATTACTATTGGCGTTGTCTTGTTCCATAGAAATTCTAAGACGTTTACGAGCCAAACTGTTGTTGGTCTTGTTGGAAATATACTATTTTTTTTTTTTCAATAATATATTTAATAATATATTTGATAATATTTGATAGTAACGAATGATAATAATAACAATTAGATTAATTGAATATAATATTAGATAATAAAGTATTAATTTAAATATTAATTTAAATCAGGAGACATTTATGGACCGACATATTTAAATGATAAATATCACCAGATTTAAAAATAAATTTTAATATTAAGAAAATAAATTACCTCTTGTATTTCTAATTTTAATTCTTTTGGAAACCACCATTCTTCCATAACATTCAAATCAGGTTTTAATTTTAAATCACTAAAACATTTGAGAATAGATTTTGTTCTTTCAGTGTAAGAATCATCTTGTTCTCTTTGTTTTCTTTTACGTCTCGCATTTTCCTTAGAGAATCTTTCAGATTGACGTTGTTCAACATCTTTATCCAAAGCAATTTGAGGATCAGAGTATTTTTGGCGCCGTAGATGATCAAGATGTGAACGTAGGTAAAATGTACAATGCATGCCAAGGTCATACACGTAAGTTTTCCAAGCCTTTTCAAATAAACAGAAATTTTTTGAATAAGTCAAATTATAAATATAATTGTAAAGATTCAAAATATAATTGTAAAGATTCAAGGAATTAATGATATAATACCCTTAGTACTTCGATTTCTTTAGGAGTCAACGAGAAAGCAAATAAGGCACTCTTATTGATAAGTTGCCTTACGACGCAGAACTTACACAAACGCACCTCCCACACAGGAATAGGATCACCAGGTTTAGCACAAACAGTGCATACCTGGGTCACATAATATTTATACGATTCGACAAACTATAAAGTATCAAGTATCAAGTATCAAGGGTCAAGTATGGGTCAAGGGTCAAAGTTATAAAATCCATTAAAACAAACAATTAAACATTAAACCAATTAAAGCAATTCGCGTTACAACAAGATATCTATTTACCTGAATCTATTAGAGGTAAGAAAGAATAAGAAATAGAACAAGAGAAATAGAAAACAAAATAACCAGATAATTAACTAGATAATAAATTAATTAATAATACACAAACCTTCCAAAACGCCTTACTAAACTACCTACTTGTAAATCC